AGTTAGAGGTGCTTGTGAGCCACCCAATGTGGGTTCTAAAAATTGAACTCCTAGTCCTCTGCAGGAACAGCAAGTGTTCTTAACTGCTGGGCCATCTCTCCAGCCCCTAACAATCTGTGTTCTGATGAGTGCTCCATGTGCCTCTGGTGCTATTCAGTTCTCCACAGCAGTGACTGCCAAACTTGGCTGTGTGGTAGAAACACTTGAACACCTGTAGAAGCTATTGTTGCTTCTGTCTCAACTCCAGACATTCTAGCATAATTGCTGCAAGATTGGAGTTTTCAATCTCAATGATATTAACATCTTGGATTGATGGTTATTTGGAAGAGATGCTGCCCTGTGCCTTGTAAGATGTTAGTGACATCACTAGCCCCTTCTCACCAGATGCCACCCCTTCCAGTGAAATACCTAATATTGTCATGTGTCCGACACATAGTTAGCCCTTGTTGATAAGCACAGTCCTAGTGCTAGGAATTTTAAGAGCTCACTAAATAATCCTTATTTACAACCAAGACTGAGAACAATTGTTCAGAAGAGTTTCTATTCATGCTTTGAATGAACAAATAGGTTAAAGAGCAATGAAAGCAAATTTTTATATCATTGGATAAAAAGTAACAAGAAGGCTGGGTGTGGTGGCGCACGCCTTTAATCCCAACACTGGAGAAGCAGGGGCAGGAGGAGCTCTGTGAGATCAAGGCCAGCCTGGTCTACATAGGGAGGTCCAGGAAGTTCTTACTTCCTCCTACTAGATGACACGAATACTGTTTTACTTGACAAAAATAGTGGAAATGCTGCTTACAAACTCTGATAACTAGGAAACAGAAAGCAAATGAGAGGATGAATATGTTCTCACAGTCAAGTTGTACTATGAAATTTCAAGACACAAAGATGTGATCCTGAATTCATGAATTGGATTCAGTGGTGAGTTGGAATTGTTGATCCATTCAGAACTTACTGTGTGCTAGGTACTACAGGATGCCCTTGAAAAGATGTAAATATGAGACTTTCACATTCCTTTTATGGCAATAAAGAATAAGCTATGACTCTCCCATGTTCCAAAATGACTCTTTGAACCAATTTGACTTGTCAGCTTGCAGACTAGTTTGTTTCTCCTCCCATTAAATTGATAATAACTGGCTAATATTAATCAGCCAGTTTTTTTCCATGGTCTAGATATTACATTCAATAGTTACTAGTCAGTTGTGATCCTGGTTTAAATTGTCTCATCGATGTACTTTTAAAAACCAAGACCTTTTAATTAGGTTTCCCATAAAATTACCCTAGGAAAAAGGGAACACAATAAACTGTTTAAAAGTATTATTACCATATGTTTCCATTTGTTTAGAAAAAGCGTATGTTTATATGTGTGTTGCAAGTTTCCTGAAGGAAAATACACTGTAATTAACAGGAGTTGCCCTTGGGCAGGGAGTTTAGGAGCCTTTATAGACTTACTTTTCGGAGTCCAGAGTGCTAACCATTACACAATGGAACCACTGCTTAGACTTACTTTTCATTATATAAATTGTTATACACTTTAATTTTTACCATTTTAAATATTATATTTTCAGTTTTTAAGTATTAGTAAATAATAAAATGGATGTGTTCCCTGTATTCTTCAGAAACTCCAAAGTGCCTCTCTTTTTTTTGGTCTTTTTGAAACAGGGTCTCCCTGTAGCCCCAGCTGGCCTGGAACGCGCTCTTTAAAAAGAAGCAAATGAACCATATGGTTTGCTTGCCTAATGCCCACTTCTTTTATATTCATTTTGTTGCTTAGACAGAGCAAACTGGAAAAATGTTTTTAAATGTAAGTTTGCTCCAATACAGCTGATGGGAAAGAGATTAAATGAGCAGGTCCTTCTTGAGATGGGGTGGTTAAAACGCCTATTTTGGTTCACAGATTTGGAAGTTTCAGTCTATGATGACTTGACTTCACTGCATTTGAACTTGTGGTGAGGCAAAACATGACATGGCAGGGCATGGCAAGGGGAAGCTGTTCACCTCAGAGCAGACAGGAGGAAAAGAGGAAGAAGAGGCACTCACTCCCAATATCCCCTTCAAAGGCATGCTTCTAGTGATCTAACTTCTCTTTAAGTTCTTAATTCTAAAAGTTCTAGAATTTTCCAGTAGAGTCACAGGCTGGGACTCAAGCTTTCCACAAATGGCCCTTTGGGGTACAGTCACAATCCAAACTGTAGTAGAAGGTGTCTTTGAGGAAAACTTAATCAGGGAAGCAAAAGAAGAAAACAGTCTTCTTCAGGCAGGGAGTATAATTTTCTCCTGACGTCATTGAAGCAATTACTATCCATACATCTTCCAGATTAGGTGAATATAAGATAAGGTGAATGTAGACACACAGTGGTTACACCTAAAAATTATCTCTGGAGATTTATTTCATATGACCTTTGTCTTATAATTCTCAGGGAGAGTTCCAGCCTGAGGAAAAAAATATCAACACCCTCACAACACCTGTTTGTGTAAAAAAACAACACAACAAAAATAATTCTATGATCTTTTTGTTCCCCTCCACAACTCTAAAATTCCTGTCCTGTCTGTTCTTTCTTTATACCTAACTCTAGTTAAAAGTTTAAGCAAGCATGAAAAAGAAAGACTATCATCATGATTAGAAGAAGCAGAGTTAATCCATGTTCTGTTGTGAGATTTTCTAAGGACTAGGCCCTTAGACAGGATCTCAAAGTCTTCCCAATTAACAAGAAACAGCCCTTCCTTTCCTCTGACTGCTGGATGTGTGACTTGAGAGATCTATCCGTGTAGATTTGGGGATCTTCCTAAGCTTTGGTAGTGAGCCAACTAAGCAGTTACTCCAAAGTATATCCTGTGCAGTCCAACATATTCTAATCACATCTTTGTTCTTTAACAGAGAGCCCCAATTCTCTAACAAAATACTAAAGTTTTTATTCCATTAAAAAGTCATTTTCTTGTCTTCTTGCCTTTATAAGAGTGATTCACCCAAGAAATAACACCCGTGTCTTTACTTGTACAAGACATTAATAACCAACCGCTACCGATCATAAAATTATTTAAGTTCATGAAAAACGTCCCAGTTTAGAGCATTATTTCTGTAAAGAGCCCCATGGTTGTCTTTGGACAGAAGTTTATGTGGAAATTTTGATAAGCCAGTTGAGGATAGTTTTAGTGACATAAGGAAGAGAGCAGAGGCAAAGTTGAATTGAAAGAAGAGGTTCATGTAGAAAACTACTCATAAAAAAGGGAGGAATTTGAAAGCTTAAAAGGAGCTCTGAAATCAAGTCCTGTGTTACACAGATAATAATAAAATTGTGGAGATCCCTGTGCTACTAAGTTCTCAAAATGTCTAAGATTCTGATTTTGTATCCATGGCATTCTGGTCTCCCAACCTCTTTCAGTGGGATCATATGCATGACCACAGTGACCATGAAGCTAAAGCTCACAGAATCCTCCAGAAATGGTAGAACAGAAATTTAAAGTTCAGCTTAGAGTTATGAATTCAAAAAACTTTGCAAAGAAAGAAAGAACACAAATTTGTCAAGTTAGTAGAATACTGTTTCTACCAGAATAGAGTAGGATTAAATGCTGAGTCACAAAGCAAAAACTACAATGAAAACCAATACTACTTTTACTATTAAAAAGACACCATTCTGGGCCTGGAGAGATGGCTCAGTGGTTATGAACACTTGCTGCTCTTGCAGAGGACCTGAGTTGGGTTCCTAGCACCCACATAGTGGCTCACAACTATCCATAACTCCAGTTCCAGAGGATCTGATGCCCTCTTCTGACCGCCACAGATTCCTGCATGTACATGGTACACTTACATGCATGCAGGCAAAACACTCATACACTTACATGCATACAGGCAAAACACTCATACGTATTTAAAATTTAAAAACACACCATTCATTTGGCAGGGGCCTTCCTTCTCCATTAGAAGACTAAGCATTCATTGAAGCCCAGGCTCCTGGTATAATTCATAATTAGATAATAGCCAGTCACACCTGCTACTTACCACAGCTACTAGAAAGTGCCCCATCAGACCAGGATTTTTAGATTTGCAACTCAGAATGGATTTCCCCTGAGAAGACCACAGTGACCTCATTTTTCTGTGTATGGAAAAAGCTGCTTATGGCCCATCTTCTGTAGACTCAGCCCTTGAAGTGCAGAAGAAAAAAGTTTTGGTGTTAACCAGATGGCAAAGTGAGCGTGTCTAAAGCCGCTTTGTTACTCCATTCTCCACAACCTCTCATTTATAGTTTAGTTGCTTGTGAGGAGATATATCATCTTTCAGTGACACTAGTTGAAATGACTTATTTTACCTCTGGTTTGAGAAGGCTTGATGCAACTACACGGCCTGCTGCTCAATTAAGCAGTTAGCCCCTACCCTAGACTTGAGTTAATAATTTCTGAAAAATTGGCAGCTGACATTCTCAAATGAGAACAAGGTTTGTGTTTTCTGTAACTTTGTGTCTCAAATGTGCTAAATAGGATGTACAAATATTTGATACATATTCAGTATAATTCTATAATATGGTATTCATAATGCATATTCTATACTAATAATTTATTTATTTTTATATGTATGAGTGTTTTGCCTGCATGTATGTAAGTGCACCACATGTGTGCAATGCCTTTAGAGGCCAGAAGAGGGCTTCAGATCTCCTGGAACTGAAGTTACAGATGGTTGTTAGCCACCATGTGGGTGCTGGAAAGCAAATTCCAGTCCTCTGCAAGAGCAGCCAGTGCTCTTAACCACTGAGCCATAGTGTTTTATATTAATATATAAATTGTTATAATATGTAACATTATATTCCCCATATCTTTTGAGATCAAAAATTGCTGAATCTTTAAAATATTAAAAAAAAATAATGTCAGTAATAATCTACTGCTGCCATGTTATCTAGAAAACCTGATGAATCAAATTTAGATGTTGGGTCATATAACTAGGAACATAAGTGGCCATGTACTGTAGACCAGACCTGCCATTTCTTATTCCCGTATCCTCTTTTCAGCTGTTGGCAGGGCGCTGGCCTTTTGACCACAGTGACTTTGGCGTGTTTCTCTGCAAGCTGTTCCCCTTTTTGCAGAAGTCCTCTGTGGGGATCACCGTCTTGAACCTCTGTGCGCTCAGTGTCGACAGGTAACATGGTTTTACCCCCTGTTCTTTTGTCGGGTGTAGAGAGACAGTTTTCTCAGAAAAAAAGAGTCAGAAAGTTCATGCCAAGAAACAATTGTTAGCTAATGTCAAGTGAATTGAAACATTAACAGTCTTGCCTTGACTGTTTAGAATTGCTTCACACTTCCGCTGACTATCATTATTATTATTATTATTATTATTATTATTATTATTAATCTCGGGCTCACATAGGATGTGCTTAGAGCATTTTGCCAGTAATATGCAACTGGTTTCCTTAAGACAAAAGAAATAAATTTTAATGATTACATCAATAGAATAAGCTTTGTGAAAGACACCTAGAACATGCAAATCCTGTATTTCAGATTGGGAATTTTATTATTAAGAAAATGAAAAGACTATTCAGTTATATTTGAAATGCTTGAATTAAACAGTAAGTGGACAGAATTGTTGTGTTCTCTAACATGCTTTTTTGAATGTCTCAAATGTTTCATATTTTTCAAAAGAGGGCACAACCAAAATAACTTTTATCCAATTCTGAAAAATCCATCAAGTATCTTCTCTCAATCTTTCTGTAATCCTCAGAAATAGCTGTCAAGAATTCTCTAGGGCCAGCAAGATGACTCAGACGAAAGACAGTTGCCACCAAGCCTGACAGCCTGATTTTAATCTCCAGGTCCCACATGGTGAAAGGAGAGAATAGACTCTGTGCAAGCTTTCCTCTGACTTCAACATGTATGCCTTGACATGCACACACCTACACATACACTCACAATATAAAATGCAATAGAAACAAACAACTTTTTTAAAAAAAGTTCTCTAATACACTACTTCCTAAACTGTGGGTTACAACCTCACAGGGGGTAAGTGAGTGGGGGAAGAAACTGTGGAATTTTGGCAACAGTAAAAGGTTTCTGAACACTCAGTGACCAAAAATTAATTAAAAATCAAATGTGTCCTGAACACTAGGTGTTGCTGGTTGCGCTCACCTGTGTTGCATCAGGTGACCTCGCCGCAACCTTGATTCTGCAGTGTGTGTGGCAACATCACATAATGCCAATAAACACTGCTTGGAACACCTCAGCTCAAAGCAGGACTGTTGTATGTTGAGAACTGAAGTGTTTTATTGTACATACAAAGTTTCTGCTCTTAGAGAAACATTGGTTTAATTACAGAAAATAAACACTTGTATTATTTTCCTATCATTCTTCAGAATGTTTCAAATTACTATTGGATTATATTATGTTAAAATGTTTGATCTTTTAAATTGCAATTTACATTGATGATTTGCGTTTCACTTTAAAAATCATTATATGAATAGCAATTAGGACAGAATTTCCAACAATTTCTGAAATAGCCCTAAACATACTTATGCCATTTTGTACTATATATTTATGCAAAGAGCCATTCTCAGCATTGACAGTTATAAAAATCAAAATATCAAACAATTCTGAAAAACATTGAAGATGCTCTGCACTCTGCAGTATCAAATATTCAGCAAAGATATCATTCTTTTTAAATATTTACTTTATTTATGTATATGTACGTTTGTGTATGAGCACATGTGTTTTGTGCAGGTATCTACAGAGGCCAGTACAGGGTGCCAGATCCCCTGAAGCTGAAGTTGCAGGTGGCTGTGAGGTGATTGACCTGGGTCCTAGGAACCAAACTTGAGTGCTCTTAAGCACTGAGCTCTCTTCTCCAGTCCCCCCCCCAAATAAATCTTTTTTTAAATTATTATTTTTATTTTATGTGTATGCGTATATTCCCTGCATGTAGGTAAGTGCACCCATGCCATGCATGCCTGCAGAGGACAGCAGAGGCTGTCAGATCCCCTAGAACTGTAGTTACAGACAGTTGTTAGCTGCCATGTGGATGCTGGGATTTGAACCTGGGTCTTCTGCAAGAATAGCCAGTGTTCTTAACCGTTGAGCCATCTTTCCAGCCCCATAATTCTTTATGTAAAAATAAACACCCATCTCATTAGTATGCAATTTTACATTCATCTTTAATAAATGATAAAATTGGCCAGTGAGATGGGACAGTGGTGCTAACCACCCAAGTCTGACAACCTGAGCTCGACACCTGAGACTGACATAAAGGTAGAGGAGAGAACTGACTCCACAAAGTGCACCACAAAGTGTTGTCCTCTGACCTCCACATGTGCATCTCCACACGCATGACACCCCCACATATCACATACACACAAACAATAAGTAAATGATAACATTATACATATACCAATGAATTGTTTTTAAAATAATTTCCTTATGATTATTAGTAAATGATTTGTTTGCCTATTTTATGTACCTTTATGCCTGGTATCTCATAAAAATTTTTTCAGACATAAAAGGGGCAGGAATGGAAAAAGTTTAAGAAGTTTTGCTTTAAAGAAGTCCTTCTACTGAGCTATAGCTCAGTGTTAGAGCATTCAAAGGCCTAGGTTCCATCCCCAGTAGTGTGTGGGGAGGGATTCTACAATAGGAGGCCACTGTTCAGGTTCCACTGACTTAAAAAGTAGACTGTAATACTTTGGCCATTTCCCTAAAAAGCTCCACAAGCACTTACAACCTGGGTTTCATTCACTGGTAAGTTCTCCCTCTGTGGTTCCTACCAGCAGCATTTCCCAGATAATTCCTTCTTTCATCAGATTGTATTATTGAGTCCTGCTGGGGTTATGACAGGCGTGACTGCTTTCTAACATGTTATGTGATCTGAAAATTGAAGGCTTTAAGTGATAGCTGTCACATCACTAACATAAGTAAATTTTGGCCTGCATTTGTCCATATGTGTGTTTAGAGATATATTCTCATTACATTATCTGATTAGACTTTTTAATATAAATCTGGAAGCCATGTGGGGAAAAGAAATGAGATGTAATCCTTGACGGTTGACAAAAAGTGTTTTTCCCGTGCAACATTGTTAGAGAGTTAAAATACGGACACAAGCATACTGACAATGGGAAAACCAGAAAGGGTGTTAGAGTCCCAGGAGTGTGTCACATGCTCAATTCACAGAATATAATGTGAAGAGAAAGATTTCTTGACAAATAGTGCTATTTAGCTGCCCGGGGAGAAAACCAAGTTAAACCCTTACCTGGTACTATATATCAGTAGTAAAATACACAGTTATCATTTCTTGAATCTGAATACCAGACCTATTTTAATTTACAGAAATTATTCTCTATGGCTCAGTGGTTAAGAACACTGGCTGTTCTTGCACAAGACCAAGGTTCAAATCCCAGTACCTACATGGCAGTTAACAACTATCTGTAACTCCAGTTCCAGGGGATCTGACGGCCTCTTCTGTCCTCCATGGGCATTGCATGACACAGGTACACTTACATACATGCAAGCAATACATGCATACATTTAAATATATATATATATGAAATTGTTTTCTCTAACTGGAACATGAGCCAAAAGTATCCCCATCTTACAGAGAGAGACACTGGGGTTGAAAATGTTAGCAAGTCCACATAACTTTGAAGCCTTTGCACCAGTAATCAAATATAGGCAGTCTTTATTCAAGCAGGTAAAATCTCAAACCATAAAGAGAAGATCTCTGGAAAAAGAAAACCTTCTGGGGGGCTGGAAAGATGGCTTGGTGGTTGAAGGCATTTACTGCTCAGGCAGAGGACCTGGGTTCAGCTCCCATCACCCACGTGGCAGCTCACAGCTACCTATAACTCCTGTTCCAGGGGCCCAATGCCTCCTTCTGACCTCCATGGTCACTGTATGCACATGGTGCATGTTAATTCACACAGCACACATGCATATAAATAAAAAATAAATAACTCTTAAGAAAAGAAAAAAAAAACCTGGACTTAAAAGGACTGATAGAAAATCAGACTATAACCACAGGTTTTTTGAGACTGAGTCTCCCTGTAGCCCCAGCTGGCCTGGAACTCACTATGTAGATCAGGCTGGCCTCAAACTCACAGAGATCTGCCTGCCTCTGCCTCCTGAGTGCTGGAATTAAAGGTGTGCACCACCATGCACAACTGTCACAAGTATATTTTGAGAGGTAAAGTTTTAAAATTCAAATCAAACATTCATAAAATTATTTAAAAATCAACAAGGCAAAAGGGCTGAGGGGAGGGGTGTTGTCAGTCCTACCAAAGGCCTAGCCAGGCCTGGCTCCTCTGCACTCTTATTTTAATTGCAGAAGCCTTCTTGTTTCAGCCCCAGTGCATGAAAAGGGGCAGCTTAAGTCGACAACTCCTATTTCTGGTGTGGGGTCTCCTACAGAACCTCCTCTCCATGTCCAATGCATGAACTATGTGTTCCATCACAGCAGTGGTTGTATATCAAATGAAACATGAGTCATTGTTCATTTAGAAAAGGAGAAATAATAACTCCAAAAATCATTTCATTAAGATGTGGTTTGACTTTTACACCAAGGAGATGAACCATTTAAAAATGTCATGTCCACTAAAACAGGAGAGTTCTTGTTGGGAATGAACTCGTCATCCTTTGTATATGGCCTTTACTCTTAGGTTTCATTTGATGGGGGCTCTATGCCGGACCTATGCCAGGGGGGTGTATTTGACATTTCTATTTCAAAAGCTTTCACATTAGAGAATCAATCACATTTACAATTCTTCTTTAATTTTAGCTTTAGTTTTTAGTTATGTATATTTGTGTGCATCACTGTGTATGTACATTTGAGCTCAGTGCCAGAAGAGTAGGACCCCTGGAACTGGAATCAACAGGGAGTTGTGAGCCACCTGACCTGGATCCTGGGAATTAAACTCAGGTCCTCTGCAAAAGCGGCACTCACTCTCAACTGTTAAGTATCTCTCCAGCCCCTATATTTAATTCTTATAAGTAAGATATCATTTGTTTTGAGACTTCATCTAGTTGCATTTTTAGTGTGCTGAAAAAAAATTATTTTGTATAATGAAAAAAAAACGGTAAAAAGAGGAAATTGGACTCTTCAAAAAAAAAAACAATTTCAGATTTTTCAAAACCATATCTTCTTGTCTGAACTAAATCAAATTATAG